AAACTTAGAATATCCTGGTAACGTAACACACATGACTGTGGATGTATACCGGGAAGACATGCAAACGTTCACAGAGGACAGCACCTGTCAGGATTTAAACCCAGGACCTTCCCACTGAGAGGAAACTCTTTAAAAGCTGCACCACTAGAAACATTTTTCTGTTCAAATTTACAAAACTTGTGAACATTTCATCCGGTTTGATTGCACTTCACTAGCCTGTCACCAGCTGTGGCTACTGGACTGATGTTGCAGCAGTCATCAGAAATGTGACCCTTTTGGTTTTCCATACATCCAGCACTCAACCTCCTCTGTTGTCCTAGATTATGAAAAGAAAACTGAAACTTTTGGTCGTCTTGCTCCTGTGTACCAGCGGTTCTGGCACTGCCTTGGTGTGAAGTGCTTTTTATTGTACCTCCATCCAGTCATTTCCTGTTGCAGTGTTTGTTGCACCAAGTGTTTTTCAATGCCCGCTAAAATGAATGCAGAATTATGGGCAGATATGGAATAAGTCCGTTTTTTTTATCCTGTTCTGGGATCTAAAGGTTTGTAAATACAATATATCAGTTCAAAAGATCATCTTTAATTAGTTAAATAACGGCTGAATTAACATCAAAGTTCTAAACCGAACATGTTGCTTCAGTAATCCTCACATTTTAAGTGTTTTTGATGAATTGTCTGCTTAGGTAGCATTTTTAAAAGATAACTAAAAAAAAAAAAAAAAAAAAACCCTGACAGTGTCAGTGTGGATGACATGGATGAGTCAGACACAGGGGGTTTCCCTCAGAGCGTGCCAGGGGCGGAACCTGGAACCGTTTTTAAATCAAGCGGCTCAGGCCGGCTGCGTCAACCATTAAGTCTCACCGTGGTGCGGGACAATGGGATTACTGTGCGCGCACGCGCTTCCCCGTGAGTGTGTGTGCGCGCATGCATCCATGCGTGCAGGCCCCGTGCGAGCGCTGATGAGAGGAGCCGGAGACGTGAGTGTGCGTTTGTACAGATGGGCACACTCAGACATGAGCCAAGCCACCAGTCGGCCACATGAAAGCTCGTCTCTGGGAGATGGAATTTTAATGTGGAAATGAGAACAATAATTCCTACTTTTAAATGCGCACAAGAAGCACAGCCCACTGATGGGGGCAGACCAAGAATGATGGATCAATTATTAATGCATCACACAGCAAGCAGGGGCTATGTATCCTCTGTATGTGTGTGTGTGTGTGTGTGTGTGTGTGTGTGTGTGTGTGTGTGTGTGTGTTTGCATGCGAGTCGCTATGTGTCCACTGCTCTGTGTGCTGTCATGTGTCCTCTGTGAGTTCCTGTTTGTCTGTTTATTCACCCGTTCGCTTCCACCTAACTTGGCATTAGCTTCATGTTTGGATGTGCAGACGCTGCATGGAGGGAGGCAGTACAGTCTGTCTGAATGTGTGAAGTGAAAAAAAAAAAACGCACATACAACAATAATCCAACATTTTAAATTTGGCATGTAAAATTGACCAGTTAGGCACAGCTAGAGCAGTATTATTTAAAATGGACTTTTTTTGAGCCTTACATCATGTTATAATGTTATTCCCTCATCTAAAAACCTACTTGGGGTGTTGACTTAATTCATTCATGCACGTTTCAGAAGTTCTCTAACCATTCAGCTGTGCCAAATGCCTGGATGGACCTAGCCCCGCCTTCTAGGATGAAGCTCCTCCTCAGACTTCCTGAAGGCGGCGTTTCAGTAAATCAGAAAGTTTTAAAGAGACAGAGGACAGAGGACAGTTTCAGGGCGCTAAATTATAAAGTCAAATTTCTTTTAAGTCATATTTGATATATATAGCATTTTTATAACAACTGAATGAAACATTGTTACTTTATTGTCCTATAAAATGGCTCTCTGTGGCTGGAAAATACATAATACTGCCCCTTTAAGAAAGTACAATTATCTGTAAATCTAACTGTGCCTACTATACTTAAGTGGTTTTTTGCATCCATCAGCCTACATGAACTGCAATTGCTCCGACACAGTTTGTTCTGATCATGGTTGCTTGTTCCCATGGTGGTCTGAGGTTCCTCAGGAGTTCCTCTGGGCCCTGAGGGAGAACGGTCCATTCTGTACATGGTGTTTTAACGATGCTCCCTCTGCATGGCCCAATTAATGAAGAACACAGCTCGACCGAGTGGAAACACAGATATAGCTGGGCAGTAAACACACCAAAAAGACATCAGAGAACAGAACAGAGGAAACAGGAGGAAGAAACTCACAAAGGGTGATGCAAGGGAGGAGGGTGGATGATGACTGGGTGTGGGGTGAGGGGGGGGGGTGCATAAGGAACAAGAGAGATGATGGGAGACTTCTCTGGACGCGTCTGGATCTCATTTAGAGGATAGTAATGCGATTAGCTTTGTTTAGTTTTCACAGCTCCGGCCAGTCCCATGAAGAAGCCTGTGTGTGTGTGTGTGCGTGCGTGCGTGCGTGCGTGCGTGCATGCGTGCGTGCGCGTGTGTGTGTGTGTGTGTGTGTGAGAGTCTGTGTGTACTGGAGGGAAATGGTGAATGGACTTCATTTTGAATTTTGAGGGGTTTTTTACTACAACAATCGTTACAATGAGGATTATGAGGAATATCTTATTAATGCTGGCATAAAATATACTTAAAATATACTTAAATTTGTGGTTGTGAGATGGCTAAATATGTTGGAAGTTGGTCATGGATATTTTTGCAAAGTGTTGTATGTTTCCAACAACATTTCATAGAAGTGCTTCACGCTGAAGGGAGTCTGAGGCGTAACGGTTCTGATGTTCTTTGTGTTTCTTGCAAACAAAATGTGTTTTATGGTCACTCTTTAATCATAAAATGTCACTAGTAATTATTTTTTGCGCTTAAAGAAATAAAGAACTGGTATTATAGTTACCCATCAACCACAAATATTGGACTGCTGCCCTTAAGCCACGCTATAGCTGCTCTAAATAATATTCCCCTCTTTTTAATTTCAGATAGACAACCATAATGCTGAATTTATTGCTAAGGTTGCTTCAGATCTGGTGACTTTTTCTAGAAGCAACTCTCAATGCTGAGCTGAACTTGCATTGCTGGAGTGTTTTAAGATTTATAGTGCACAAATACATTTTACAAAAGTAAAATTATAACTTCATCATCACTGAAACATTAAAAACTGAATTCTTAAAAGGCCAATTTCTGTTTGCTTCAGCTGGAATACACTCGGCAAGAAACATGTTTCACTGATTTAACGTGAAACATTAAATGTTCAGTTGTTTGGCTCTGGACTTTAAGTGGGCCACTCTAACAAAGGATTGGGCAATCCTGGTCCTTGAGTGCCGCTGTCCTGATGTCTCCCTGGTCCAAAGTTGCAGGACACCGGCCCTGCAGGCCTGGAGTTACCCACCGCTGTTCTAACACATGAAGAAGATTTCAAGGTAAACAACCTGAAGTGAGTCAGACGGGAGGAGGGGTTGTTTTCAGGGTGAACTGTTAGTTTTCCGTCACACAAAGTCTTTCACATTAGTCTCATTTAATTGTCTCCCTATACCATGAGTCTTGCTATATGACTTATGGCAAACTGATCTCTGCAGCTCCTCCAGAGACGCCACAGGTCTCTGGGCTGCGTCTGCCTTTAAAGCTGCAGTATGTAATCAGTACTAAAAAGAAAAGGTTTTGCTTTTTTTACATATTTGTTGAAACTGTCACCATGTTGTGACAGTTTCCTCTCTGAACTGCTATCACCGTCTGAAGAAATGCACAACTCAGTCAAAAACAGCCAATCAGAACCAGAAGGGGGGACTTAGCGCTGTCAATCATCCTCATGTACTCACTGCTCAATGTGGTAATCGCAGAGAGACAATGTACCATTAAAGGAAAACCGTTTATCTGCCGTCGGCACCATAATGAAAAGTGAAGGGACATGGTGGTAAACATTCCCCTGTCCAAACATTTTTGGAACCTGCTGCAGGCATCAAAATGAAAACAAATCAGTAAAATGTTCCCATTTTAACACAAAATATTTAATCGTTTAGTGTATTCAATTGAGTATAGGTTGAAAAGGATTGGCAAATCTTTGCACTCTGCTTTTGTTTCAGTTTTACACATTGACCCAACATCATGGAGTGGGGACTAAATGAGTGAACTGGCTACTGTTGGTAATCTCATATGAATATTTTATGTAAATGAAAAGTTTTCATTTATTTTATAGAAAAAAAATATATGCGTATATATTTTTATAAATGAAAGGTGCAGGAGCATCAGTCTGAAAATCGGTGGTTCTGCTCACCTGTCAGTCAGCAGCATTAGAAGCTGACAGTCTGGAGCAGCTGTTGCTCATGATGAGCTTAGAAATGTTTTTCATTTGTTTTTCAGCAGTTTCCACTCACAGCATATTAGGCATGACTGACAGTTTTTGTGGTTGTGTTCAGGCACTTGCAGCTCTTGCTTCATATCGGGAGAACATGGGGGTGTTGGTCAGAGATTTCAAAAATACTAAGGGGCCCACAGACCCCGTTGGTGTAATGCAGCTTTGTGTAATATTTTTATGTGTGTGTGTGTGTGTTGTAAGCTTTCTTCCCAATTTAGCATGAAAGTTCTGTAAAAAAAAAAAAAATCTGGGTGGTAATATTTGAGAGAGAAACGTTTCTCAGACAGATGGTTTTAATTAACTAGACAGTCAAAGTGCTTGTTTCTAATTATTCTTTATTGTTTTGTTTTCCTCTACTTCAGGCTATTAAATTTCCGTTATTCCTGAAATTTCAATAGAGTCAAGTCATCCGCGTCAATGCACAAGCTTGGAGAAAAATTGAAATAAAAATAAAAAAATCCACACCAGCAAAACTCTCTAAATGTCTCACCACAGAAATAAAAAAACTCTAACGTTATCACAGGATTTCTAAAGATTATAAAGGAATGCGCCTCTCAAGTATATGTGCTTTTTTTTAAAAAGATTTTTTTAACAAATAAATGAGGACTACATGTTAAAACTTGCATGGATCCTCTCTGTTTGTGTCCAGGCATCATCAAGGTGGGACGGTGGAACCCTCTGCCCATCCACTTCCTCACAGACGCACCTGAAGCGACCGTGGCAGACATGCTGATGGAGGTCTATCACATGGTCACGCTGCACATTCAGCTGCAGAGGTCAGACTTCCTCCTTCCAACCAGCTCTGGTTTCAAAAGTCTGTAGGATCGCAGCTGGAGGTCAGGTTGTTAGTCTGCAGGGCTGCCGATGCGACTGTAGTGGTTTTCAGATGCTAAAGCCCTGATGGAGAACTATCTGCTATCTGTCTGCGTCAGGTGTTCACCGGGATTGAAGGGGTCGGGGGCTGGGGGGTCTGTGCTTCGGTACGTCCTGGTTCCAGAGAAGAAATGAAGCAGAGTCCTGATGAGCAGATAAGAACTGATAAACTCCACATGAGAGGGTTTATTTGTTTCTATTGTCGTGGCACATTCCAGCTAGGCTTGTTTATGTGTGTATCCAAAGCAAGGGCAGGGCTCCTGTGCAACTATTTTTCAGAGTCTGACTCATTTATTTAAAGCTGAAAATAAAATAGCTAAAAAAACCAAACAAAAACAACAAAAAAACAAAAACAAAACGACAGTAGAAAGAGAGAAGTTCACGATGGAACTCTAAGGTTAAACTCTCCTCTGACTCCAACTGATGGTAGCACGACCTACTTTCTGACTCATTTTGGCTAATTATTTATTTGACCACTTGGGGGCACTCAGACTGTGTTTAAAGTCTGACTTTTTTTTTACATTTATATCATGTTAATATATTATTTAATCCTCAAAAACATAGCCAGAGTGTTGCCTTGATTCTTTTATGCATGTTCGAGAAACTCTTTGATCTCCATGGCAACCATCCAGCTGTGCAAAACCCCTAGGTGAACCTAACAACCTCTTCAGAGCTGCAGTTTCCAAGCTTCTGCCTCACAGAGCGGCTCTTTCCCACGACGCCCCCTCTCAGCTCCTTCAGACTAGCCAGCAGCAATTAACAAACATCTGATGAGTCGATTATGTGCGCTACTTCTCTGAGCAACGCTGGTAAAAACGTTGTTAAAGGGTTAAAAGATGAGCCACGTTGTGATACCTTCCTGAAGGCGGAGCTTCAGACAGAGCAAAGCTTTCCTATAGAGAAAGAGGCCCAATTTCAAGGTGTTAAATTTCAAACTCAAATTTTCTTTGTTATTTGATATATACATCATTCTTATAGCAACTGAAGATAACATAGTTACTTGGTTGTGCTCTAAAATCTCACTTTGTGGCTGGAAAACACATAATGCTGCCCCTTTAACCAATTAACTGTCACCCTCAAAACTCTTATATGTTATCCAATATGTTTTGGATATTTATGACAATAAAAGAGGAAAATGTTTTATGCAGTATGCAGGTCAGGTGTGCTCTGTAGGAGACTCAACCACTGTTTACCAAACTTTCTTCTCACTCAGTGCTCAAACAATCTTCAAATGAACTACTGCCACCTACAGGACTGGAGTGTACATCTGGTGTATCTGCTCTGGTGTTCTTCCCTCTTTGAAGCAGACAGTTTGTGGTTCTGACTCATCCACAGTTCTTATGATATAGACTCCTCTCACTGTTACACATGGAGCCAATTTAAAATATTACAATATTCCCAATATTTCAAAATGCTCAATTAAGCAAACTTGTAGTGTCAAAACTATCAGTTTTACAGCATAAAGGGATTAGGGACATGAACATGTTGCTTTAAGGAGCAGCCTTACATTTGTTTGCCTCTAAATACTTTTAATAATTATGATGAAGTGGTTCTCCTAACACGCCCTGTGTAATGATGTAAAACACGTCCCAAACGATTAGCGTGACTGATGCGTTTGTGTCTACGGATAGTAATGACTGATGTGTGTGTGTGTGTGTGTGTGTGTGTGGTTTTGATTTGTTGCAGCTTTGCGAAGCTGGAAGATCTGCCCTGTGAGCAGTGGAACCACGCGACTGTCAGGAACGCTCTGAAGGAGCTGCTGAAGGAAATGAACCAAAGCACTCTGGCCAAGGAGTGTCCTCTGTCTCAGGTAGGCCGTTCAGGAGGAATCCACCTCCAACCTCCCAGGAGACCGGGTTCTGGTTACTGCAGCCGCTTCATGCCAAGCACCGTCTCCTCAGCCAGCTACAAGTGTGGCACCCGGCCCTGCTCCCATAATGTGTGCAATGTGTTTGCATGTTGTGTTTAACGCCATCTCTGGTGGGGGTGTCGATGGCTGCATTAATTGCTAGCATATGTGTGTGTGGCTGGAGATTCCCCTTCTGCACTGTGCTGGCTCGGCTTTCCATGGGTGGCTTCCAGTCATGATTAATGTTTCTCTGCTTCTATTGTGTGTGTGTGTGTGTGGGTGTGGGTGTGTGTGTGTAAATGCTATGTGGGTGTTGCGTGAGTCAAAGCATTTCATATGTTGTTAGTTATTATTTATCTTTTTCCTCTCTCCTTCCCTCAGAGCATGATTTCCTCCATAGTGAACAGTTCTTACTATGCCAACGTCTCCACTGCCAAATGTCAAGAGTTTGGCCGTTGGTACAAGAAGTACAAGAAAATCAAAGGTAAGGCCAGCACTCACGCAGTCTGAAGTATGGGTTGGGCGACATGGACTTTACGTTTTATCATAATATTTTGTGGTAATATTGTGATGATTATAAAAGTGATGATAGGAACTCTTTATTACTGATTTTTTTTGTTTTGTTTTAGCTAACACAGCAATCACAAATACAGCTCTTGAAAAACAAACTTGTTTGTAATATGCTTCGTTAGGATCCCAGTTACATAAAGAAATGGGATTTGTTTCACTAATTAATATTTATTGGTAATTTCCTTGAACAAGCAGAGGAGAAAATAGTAAAACTAACAATTCTGTGAATTCAGACAGTTTAGTTCTTTTTAACATCATTAACTGAAACTTGTGACAACAATAAATAGGAATTCTTATCATGATAAGAAATGTATCACGATAAATGATAAATGATGCGATAAATGTCAACCCATAATTTTAAATACTCCTAAAATGTCGAAGCAAGAGGATGTCAACAGCATGCAATGAAATGCTTTCATATTCCATGAGATTATTATTTTTACCATGGTTCTTTAACAATATATCCCAAAATTAACTGAAGTGAGAATGAGGAAAAAATGAAATGCAAATTTTGATGAAATGAAAAATTAGTCTTTTAACAAAGATTTCCGATCTGCCGTCTCCATAAAGCTTTGATCCTGTGTCCGATAATGTAATATTTAAGAATTCTAGAAAATATGTCAACAAAGCTTTGAGACGGACTGATTGCTGGTCAGCCAGGTTCAGTCATTTTAAAACAAGAGCAAACACATTATGTAGCTCATATAAATAAATTTTTTTAAACAAGTTTAGCATTTTATACAAGCAGTTAGCATGAATGTTATAACAGTTCCTGTGCAGGCCCTTTCCTCAACTCTGAAATTTACTCTGAACTCTGAACAACCACCTCATCCCAGTGGCAAAACATTTTTCTAAATTCAATTTATTTTTGTAATTCCAGTGTCGACGCAGCTACTGACTCTCTGCTCATTGTTTTAAGCAGGAGACTATCTGGAGAAGATGTGGACTGGTCGCGACGCCGCAGACATTAAAAGTAAGACTTTAACTCTCTGAGGTCGCTTTTGTTTTTTTGTTTTTTTTGTTTGTTTTTTGGTGCTTGTTTAACGTTGCTTCTCCTGACTCCAGTTGAGAGGGACAACATGTCGGACTTCTGCGTGCTGGGGCCGCGGCCCCCGCCCCACCTGGCTCAGCTCAGCCACCTGAGTGCCGGCGGCCCCCTCCTCAAAGCCGGATCCGGGGACCCTCAGGCCCCGTCGCAGCCGCTCCAGCAGCCCCCTCCGCCCCAACAGCAGCCATCACCTCATGGCCCCCTCCACCACAGCCCCCCTCTCCGCACAGGACAGGTGCCTCCTCCTCCTCCACCGCCTCCGCCGGGTGCGCTGCAGCCCCTGCTGGGGCCAGGTGGGCTCCTCTCGCCACAGCTCTCCCCGCAGCTGGTTCGCCAACAGCTCGCCATGGCCCACCTCATCAACCAGCAGCTGGCCGTGAGCCGCCTGCTGGCCCATCAGCACCCTCAGAGCCTCAACCAGCAGTTCCTCAACCACCCGCCCATCCCCCGGGGTTCCTCCAAAGGAGCGGGCGACCATCCCGGGAGCAACCCTTCGGCCGCCGAGGTGTCCTCTGAAATCTACCAGCAGGTCAGGGATGAGCTGAAGAGGGCCAGCGTGTCCCAGGCCGTGTTCGCCAGGGTGGCCTTCAACCGCACACAGGTATGAGGTCTGGCGCATCGGGCGCTACGCTGTCGGCTGTTACCATGTGTTTCACTGAAAAAGATGAGTGAATATAACCCGACTTCAGTCAAGGTTTTGTTAACACTCTGTTGGTGAATTAAAATGTTAACTTTAATCAAAAACATTCAGTTTAAGTTTTTGAGGTAAAATGGTTTTAAAAGTTAGTTAAAGGGCAGTGTTATGTGTTTTCCAGGCACAATTTGTCGCACAATCAAGTAACTATGTTTCCTCCAGTTGTTATAAAAATGCTGTATATTTTACATGTGACTTAAAAGAAATTTGGGTAACACTTTATTTGAAGGGGTGTGCATAAGATTGACATGACACTGTCATGAACATGAAGGAGTCTTTATGAATGTTTATGACAGTTGTCATGAAGTGTCATTCGGTAAATAATGACACTTTTAATGCAAAGTTGCTCTAAAAGTTGCATTGAAAGTCCATTAAAAATGCCAACTTTGCATTAAATTATCATAATTTACAAAATTATGCAAAGTTGGCACTTTTAATGGACTTTCAATGCAACTTTTAGAGCAACTTTGCATTAAAAGTGTCATTATTTACCAAATGACACTTCATGACCACTGTCATAAACATTCATAAAGACTTCTTCTTGTTTATGACAGGTGTTCCGTCATGTTTATGACAGTGTCATGTCAGTCTTATGCACACCCCTTCAAATAAAGTGTTACCCAAATTTGACTTGATTTAACGCCTTGTAATTGAGCCTCTGTCATTTAAGAACCTTTGCTCTCTCTGAAGCTCCGCCTCCAGGAAGTCATGACAACATCTCTCCTCTAGTAACATTTAACGACATTTTACCAGCTTTGCAATAAGAAGTAGCTCCTATGATGAGTTCAGATGATCAACAGTCCCACCAGGTGTTTGCTAACAGCTGCTTCTAGTGAAAAAGTGAATAAACCGTGACTGCGCGACAGCACTTTTTTAAAATTTTATTTTACTTGAAAATACTTATTTAAAAAGAAAACTATTTGACTGAAACAGCTCCTGGGTCTTGGTTTTATTTATTTTCTTTTATTTGCTCAAATTAAATTTTGACAGAAAACATAGAAGTCACGCTCACTAAAATTGCACAAGTTAATGTTACACAATCAGTTAAATTAATAGAAGCTAATGGGAACTTGGAGGCAACAAATTTGCATATATTTTTCTTAAGTAAAGAGAACTAATTAGGCTTTACAGTGTGTGATGCTCTCCGTAGCTTCATACTGTTGCATTCTCAGCCGCTGAAGACACACAGTGGCTCATCCCAAGCATCAGAACGTCTATAATGGAAGGGCTCCTCTCTCCTGTCCTGTGGTCCCTGTGATTAGCAGCAGCTTCCCGGGTCATTGGGTCCGCTCCCCCGCGTTCGCAGCAGCACAAACACCTGATGCATTCAGGCTGCGCTGAGCTGGTTACAGCACGCCCCATTAGGCCAGAGTAACAGGAGGAGGCTCAGGGAGGCCAGGTGTGATGGAGGGAGGCAGCTTTGTGTCTGTTTATAGAGCCGCACTTACATGTGAAGTCACCCGGTCACACGCTATCAACAACACGTTTACCCTCTTTTAGCTTTTCATATTCGGATTAGAGCATCGTGTTAATACCTGCCCTGTATTCAGGGAACATCGATGATCTCATCAGAAATGATGGCGATCAACAATTTAGAAGCCAACGATAACCAATGGCAACATTTATTCATTAAAAAACATTTTTTATTGGAGTCCAGCAGGTTAAATGTTCTCAGCCCAAATAATTAAATATCTATTTTTTGAGTAAATCTTTGAGGAGAAGACTCCTGCGCAGATGTCCACTTTGTTCTGTTGTTAGATCCAGCTGAGAAATCCCACTGGAAGCTATGTTTCTCCACCAGACTGAACAAGGAATTGGTTTTGCTCATTGCTAATACACAGGCCTGTCACAATGAATCAATTAATCAATTAATTGCATGATATTTAAAAGCAAGCTCAGTAATTTGTATTTGCATAATTTATTGTTTTCTGTTTCTACCAAAAACTGGATGACAAAATTCTTCAGGCTGGTGTTTTGGTCTCAACTAGATCTTTCTTCTTTTTTTTTTTTTTTTGAAGGACACTTTTGTTTACAGAGACTTTATAATTAATTTATTTATTTTTTCTGATTTTGTTTATTTATTTTGGATATTTAAAATGTCTTCTAGTTCCAGCGTTAAATATTAGACGCTCATTGGAGTGTCTATTATTTAATTCTTAAAGTTGATTGAACTTTAAGAATGTGTCTTTGTATTTTTATACCATTACTATTATATCACTTGAAAATAGTCTCAAAACAACAATATTATTGTTTATCGCAATAATTTCTGGGACAATTTATCGTCCAGCAAAATTTGTTATCCTGACCGGCCTACTAATACACAGTATGTGTTAGCTTAGTTAGCTTACTATACTAACTTATTAACTGACTTATGCATTTACACAGTAATTTACTTACACACCCACTCACTTACGTTCAGGATACGCTATCTGTTTTCCAAGATAGTCCTTTAGGTAAGGCAATATGACATTCATGAGCACAAGTATATTACTAGAAGTTATTTTATAAATATGCTTTGTTTAGAATGACATGGATCACTCTGCAGGTATGGCCTAACGTTGCCAGTTGTTTGGCATCTAGAGTTTCCTTCTCATTTAGAAACAGGAGGCAGTTTTAGCTGAAAACAGGATCAGATGCTAATAATTGCTACTCGTTGAACATTAAGATCATTGCTTAAATTACTATCCAACCAATTAAAATAAAGTATTTTCTCATAAATACTTACTACTTATAAAAATAATACAAAAGTAAAAAAATGACTAAATAATCAAATGGATCAAAAGGAAAGTAAGTCGACATCAGTAATGTGTTTATAATAAAAGCTAATATGACTTACTTTAACTTTAAAGAGTTGGAGTGAAAAACTAGTCAAATGAACGACATTTAAAATATTACACTGTGTGATATTTGTTTTAAACAAATAAATCCTAGAACTGAAATAGTGGTTGAGAACAATCTGTACAAATTAAGATGTTTTTGGTCAGCATTAATCTATCAAAATGGATTCATCAAATTGACCAAAATCCCCTGGATTCGGTCCTGATTTTCCTCCATTACTCATTAACTGCAACCCAGTGTAAAAACTCCAACTTTTCCAGTCGGTGAAAACATTAACACGGGCATGTTCTGTAATATCCTAATTACATCAACCCAAAAGCAGCAAGTCAGATCTTAAATCAAATCATAAATCTGCTTTGACCAGTGAAAACCTGATTGGTGCATGTGTAATAATAATAATGGAGGTTTGCAAAGTTGCTCCAAGGAAAACTGCAAGATGTCTGGCCCCAAGTCTCTTTGGGGGAGATGAGAACAAAGACAAGAAGTTTGGCTCCTAATGCCTGGCCACATATCTGGAAAAACCTAAATTCATCAAATGGACACAAACGAGTGTGTGCCATTCTGAGAACGGAGCGGGGTTTGATGAGTTCTAACACAAAAATATCAAACACACAGCGATTGGTTTGTCTAGTCAATAGCTCATCCAAACCAAAGACTGCTTTTGTTTCACACATTGCTGAACAGTGGGGAAGCGAAAGCAACTAAGTCAAACGTTTCATAAAATATGAAAGACACAGTTCAGTTTTTTTAAAGCTCATAAGCGGGTGGTATGTGTCACTTCACTTAGCATGCATTTATTGGTTTTAGTTTGTTTCAGGCCCACTTCAAAGTTCCAAACAACTCAAACGCTTAGCAGTTTTTGCGATCATTTGCATTGGGTTACATTAAGAGGAGCTGATGCTAATTGGTTTGGCTTTTGGAGATTGGAGGCGGTGCATCGTCAATCATCTTCCTGTGTGAAACGCACAGAGTGAGGAAAATATAAACAGTTAGCAGCCAAAATACCTTTTGGATGTAAAAAAAACAAAACAAAAAAAAAACATTAAATCGTTACCGATTATTACCTGGCTACTTTTCCATTCAATTTTCGGACAGAAGAAGTTTTCCTTTTTCTGTTTTCAGAACATTTTAAACAAAAAGGTCATCAGCCTGTGTGCAAACGTGACCACAGGTTAAAGGCTCACAGATTAGTGTTCACATAAATCACTGTGACCTTTGCAGATGGTTGAGTTTCAAAGGGGCAGTATCATGTGAAATCAACTTTTTTTTTCAAACTTTCCATCACATTATTATGTTATAACCTAACATCCGGAGTTTTGACTTGATTCTTTCATGCATGTTTGAGAAATCCTTAAATCTCCCATGACAACCATCCAGCTGTGGAAAACACCTGATGGGACCGAGCGCCGCCTTTGAGACACAGCTGCTCCTTAGAACTGATTCAGCTCCTGCAGACTAGCCAGCGGCAATTAGCAAGCACCTGATGGAATTAATTACACAGACTACTTTAATATACAAAAACGTTGTTGTAATAGAGGAGTGATGTTGTAATGTCTACCTAGAGGCACAGTTTCAGAAAGAGCAGGGGCTTTTAAATACACAGAGGCCCACTTTTAAGGCATTAAATCAACAAGTTGATTACAACTCATTGTGCTATAAAACAGCGTTATGTGGCTGGAAAACAAATCGTCTTTAAGACACTCCAAGTCCTCCTGGTCTTTTCCCCTCAGTACTGAAGCCCTGAACTGTCCCTTTAAATACTCTGAAGGTGGGCAGTGGGTGACAGTGGCGATGTGTTTGGGTTGTGTTGGTCAGGGCTTGCTGTCGGAGATCCTGAGGAAGGAGGAGGACCCCCGCACGGCGTCCCAGTCCCTGCTGGTCAACCTGAAGGCCATGCAGAACTTCCTGAACCTGCCGGAGAGCGAGAGAGACCGCATCTACCAGGAGGAGAGGGAGCGCACCATGAACCCCTCGGTGGGGCTGCCCTCCTCCAACTCCACCAACCCCGGAGCCCAGCGCCTCACGCAGGTTAGAAGTCTCCTCCGACCTCAACAAACACGAAAACAGAGATTTCTTTCTCTTTTTTTTTTTCTTTTACATTCGAAGTGATGCAAACGTTGAACTGGGCCTCTATGTGTGTTTGTGCATAGAAAGTGTGGGAGAGGAGCCTGGACGACCCAATAGCCCCGGACACCTGGGCCTCCATCTGGAAGAACAAGACGAAGATCTCCAACTCTGTGAGTTATCTGCCATCTTTAATCTGACTGCTGCCCAGAACTCCGACCCCAAGCAGCCTTAAAAGCCTCCAGAGGAGCTCGCTGTAAACAATAAAGCGGCATTCAGCATGCTTCCAAGTTCACCCAGCAGCTTGGCAGCGGCGGTGATAAGGCGCCGCCTCTGATGTCAGGGCATATGCCTATTCATGGCCGCAGCCATGAATATGTTACCCTGTTCTTATTATGGCTATGTAAAATTATCTTAGCATGGTTTACACTGAGGGAATGTAAGCGAGCTGGTCCGTGCACGTCTCGCGGATGACTTCAAACGCCGTGTATACAAGCTCTGGGAGAGCCAGCCCACGTCGGCTCGAACAGAAACAGCCCAAAGAGACAAAAGAGGGGGTTCTTAATGACTTGGATCTGTAAACACGGGTCATGTGGAGACGTGTGCCGCAGATGTGCAGAGAACGCGGCGCGTCTGCTGAGAGCGGCTCGCCTCGATCGTCAGCTGATAGCCTTCCCCTCCCATGGTTTCACTCTGCAGAGAAATCTCAGAGTGGCTTCAGAGAGGAAATGGGCGTCAGGTGATGAAGAGCAACAACTCCCACAGTGTCTTATTTCTGTTCTCCCTGAATAGCATCGTTTTTATTCCTACCTATTGATTGATTGGTTGATTGATTTTATCTAAACAGGACAGCGCGTATTAATGTTGTCGTAACCATTGGAGATTGCACTGATTCGATATTGATATCTGATATTGAAAAAAATCTAGATTGGGTATCCGTGACGATGTAACAGATCCATAAGAGCAGATCTATTCAGTCTAATTCTATGCTTTGTGTTCTGAGTGAACCAGGTTTATTATTATCCAGAATTCCTAATTCAACTTGAACCATTGGAAAGAAGGTTTGAAAGTCTAGCCTATTGTTTTTGTCAGTTTCAGTTTCTTTTTTAATTATTTTACATTGGCTGTAAAATAAATCATGTCCTCCCCCTCCTCGTTCTCGGCTACGCTGCAGTTAGCCCAGCCTGGTGTGAAAGCTATGGCTAGTTAGCGTAGCAGTTGATGACAACGGACAAACGGTTTTCCTGTAGTACTGAGTTGTTTCTCTGCCATCAACACTTTGTGAGCACATGAGATTGATTGACAGCACTAAGCCCCTCCTCCTGGCTCTTATTTGTTGTTTTTGATCGGGAGTGGTTCATTGTTTCAGATGGCAATAGAAACTCAGGGAGGAGGTGGAGCAGATTGATCTATTCAGATTATTTGTCTCATACCATAAAGTCACAACATGGTGAGATTATTAATAGATATGGAATAAAGATATTGTTCATAGAAGTTACATACTGTTGCTTTAAGGGCTACACAGGTGGCGCTCTTTCTAATGGTAACAAACAGGGTGTTTCAACACTTGCATCCTTTAACAGATCATTCTGTGACAACGGAGGCTTTCTAAGTTGAACCTCCATCACTTTGTGACCCTGCACTGTTCTTCTCTCCCCCCCAGCCGAAGCCGTCCGGCCCGGGCCCAGACCTGCCTCTGAAGCTGGAGTCGCTGGTCAACATCACGTCGGGCATCTACGACGAGATCCAGCAGGAGATGAAGAGAGCCAAAGTGTCCCAGGCTTTGTTTGCCAAGGTGGCCGCCAACAAGAGCCAGGTGAGCCGGGAGAGGAGGCTCCGACGGACTGGGGTGTTCTGTCTGTATCAGAGTCCAGAAGATATAAATGAGTCCCAAAAAATCCACTTGGAGAAAACTGCTTTGAAAAGCTCCTAAAGCAACAGGTGGGACAGAAAAGATCCAGTGCTGTGATGAGATGGACTGTAGAGCTTTACCTGTGGCTGCAGCCTGTGGGCATGTTTGCAGTTTTAGATGTCGACCTTTCTAATACTTTAAACTCTCACTGGAGGATGGAGTTTGTGTTGCTGAAAGTGGGAAAATGCCTCCACGCTCTGTGCAGCTTTAGTACACAGGAGGCCGAGTTACTGCATCTGTTCTCTGCAGCAGAACAATGCTGGGAGTCAATCTAAAACTAGCTAACATGAAGACACTCTTGTGTGGAGAAAATAAAAAGGAGATATGTGTATTTAATTATGTAATGTTAGTTTTTGAGGAGTAGATTATTGGAGGTTTTTTGTTGATGCCTGACATTTCTGAAAGCTTCCTTATCCATGCTGTGTGACCTTGCAATCCGAAACTTTCACATTTCATTGCAATTTCATGAAACAGACAAAAAAAGTGTTTTTCACATGTAAGGACTAAAAGTTTTGCCGGTAACACTTTAATTGAAGGGGGTGAATAAAACTGTCATAAACATGTCATAACACCTGTCATGAACATGAATAAGTCTTCATGAATATTTATGACTGTTGTCATAAAGTGTCATTCGGTAAATTATGACACTTTTAATACAAAGTTGACATTATTCAAAATGTCTTTGTTATGACAACTTGACATTAACCAAGAAATCATTACTGATATAAATTTGTTATAAAAGTATTACTGATTGCACTTTAAAAATTAGGTAACTTTATGTTATTAAAGGTAAAGTTTAAACAGTAATGATTTATTGGTTAATGTCAAGTTGTCATAACAAAGACATTTTGAATAATGTCAACTTTGTATTAAAAGTGTCATAATTTACCGAATGACGCTTTATGACAACAGTCATAAATATTCATGAAGGCTTATTCATGTTCATGACAGTGTCATGACAGTCTTATTCAACCCCCTTCAAATAAAGTGCTACCTTTTTGCCTGACTGAACGGAAAACGTCGATGAACTTTACAAACCAATCATTTTTATTCAGTCACACCTCAGTCATCCTCCAAATTTGAGTCTGAACTTTGACCTTCCCTTGGTGTCCATGACACTGAAACTGAACAGCTGCATTAGACACAAGTCGACTTTATTTACTACTTAGTAAAGATTCACCAGTTGCATGTTTCTGACTGATCCACCAGGATATTAAAAGTCCTGAGCTGCCAATTCTGATTTTGGCCAATACCAATTTATTTTTTATCTGAAACGTTGCTAAACATGGCAAGAAAGTTGATGAGTTGCCAACAGTGAGGGTGATTATTGTTAACTCCAAAAATATAGACATGACCTGGTGGGCCAGTCTGTCAGTCAGACCTCTGTCACAGCAGAGCACAAGAGGATAGTGGTTGATTGAAAGACCTTTGCAGAAATAAATAGAAATTGATGAACAAGATCGGCTTCATGTGTAAAAATGGGCAGATCACCAATTTCCCAAAATTAAGAAAATCGGCCAGCTGATAAATCGGTGCACTCCTACTACCTGGCTGACTTCTGACGGATTTGATTCAAGTTCAACAGAGTAAGTGGGGCTGAAAACAACACATCTTTGGGCTTTTCATTTGAAAAGAATGTTAAAAACTTATCATATTCCTTTCCTTCTCAATTGTGCACTGCTTTGTGTTGGTCTGCCTCATATGATCCTTATTAAATACATGAAAGTTTGAGGTTATAACCTGATAGAATGTGAAAGAGCTCAGGATCTGCAGAGTGAGCAGCAGCAGCGTCTGGCTCAGAGACGGCCGTCCAGATGCGTGTGTGCGTGTGTGTGTGTGTGTGTGTGTGTGTGTGGGTGCATGCAGGTCATGAGTCTCTTCTGTGTGTCGGTGGTGTGCTCCGTCCCCCAGGTCGGGGTTGTGGGGGTCCGTGGGGGTGGCGGAGGGTCACGGCTCGGTGCACCCATCTGCTGCAGCTGGCCACGAGGACGGAGATGATCAGGCTATTAGCGGCACATGCTGCCCGAGGAGGCTGGCTGAACACAGCAGCTGGCGGCACAAACCGGAGCAGTCTAGCAGACATAATTCAATCCTCTCCATCTTCCTCATTAAACGTCCCGTAGATCCACGACTTTTCCGCTCAATTTAAACCGTTCCTTCGTACTTTTTTTGTGAGGGTCGGTGAAGTTGCCCGTAATAGTTCCCTTACCCTGCGGCAGGAAGCTGTCATGTCACTGTGAGCTAGTTGGGGAAAACAAGAGAACTTCAGAGGAGGAATCGACTAAAAAAAAAATGTAATCACAGTAGGTGTGTGATTAATCGCGATTATTCTCAGTGCCCGGAGTAACTGTGGAGGGGTTTTTAGCAGAAAGCGATAAGAAAGTGAACGCTGCAGGTCTGAAAGAAGCCCCTCTCCTCCACAGGGCTGGCTGTGTGAGCTGCTTCGATGGAAGGAAAACCCCAGCCCCGAGAACCGCACCCTGTGGGACAACCTGTGCACCATCCGGAGGTTCCTGGCGCTGCCGCAGGCCGACAGGGACCTGGCCTATGAAGAGGAGTCCCGACACCATCACAGCGAACGGCTGCACACCGTCCTCCACCTGCCGCAGGACGCTCAGGTAAGCTCTCCTCACTGCGTGGATGGACAGGCTGGTTGGCTCCGGATCAGGCAGCAAACGCTGGAATATTCATTTCTGATTGGTTGAACCTCTTGAACTCTGAGTGGTTCTGAGACGAAACACCCATTTATACCGACTGGACTGGAAGAGAAACCAGGGTTGTAATGGTTTTGGGTTTTCCAGTTTTATTTCATTCTGACTTTTTTTTTTGTCTAATTCAGTTAGTTTTTAAAGTGTTTGCTTGTTTAGTTTAGTTTAGTTTAGTTCAGTTTAGTTTGTATTAGTCATAGCAGTAGTTTTAGTTTATTTCATAATTTGACCTTTTTGAATTCTGCACCAAAAGAGTAACCAAAGTATTGGGATTATTTATTCACCGATTGGTTATTGAATATTACGCAGAAGATAAAAAATGAACTTTATTGTTGAACAACCAGCTGACTGTCTTATAACAACTTTTACTGTTTTTTTTTTGTTGTTTTTTTTGCGGAGTACCATGAGGAGGAACTGCTTAAACTGCTTATGTGGAGGGGAAAAAAATCACATTAGTTTAGTATCTCTATGATTTCAGAATGTTTTAGGATGTAGTTCCAGTCAGTTATAGGTTTTCCCCATGAATAAAGATTTTTGATTTTGTGAGTTAACACACAAAATCTCAATGTCAGGATTTCTTTCTTATCTCATTAGTTTTAGTTCACTGTAACTTTGCTGCCATCTTGTTTTTCCTCCATGTCTCTCTTCAGCGCCTCCTTTGGATTTTATTTTTTTTTCCTCTGGATGTGTCCACCGTCACGCAGCTCATTTGTCATTATTACCCTCATATTTATTCTGCATGGGGGCCGTTTGATCTCATGCACATGTGTTTGTGTGTCCTTGCGTGCCCCTCTGGAGCCAAGAATAAACAGTGTTGCTGGGTGGTGTGGCATCAGAGGAAATGCCCCATTAGTTTATGAGGAGGGCGGGGGTTAGGGGGGATCGATGCAGGATGCATGCTAACATGTCAGCCTCGTTCGTTGCTGCGACCCTCCCACTCACACACAACATGGAGATCACTCACTTTCTCCCACCGAAGACCCTCCTCATCCTCAGCAAACAGACCAGCCAAGACATTTTAACACCAACCTGCATGGATGAATTTGAAATCAGCTCTGAACGTAGCGTGAAGGGAGTGAATGAAGCCACATAGCCGGAGCAGTAACTGACTGGATGATTCTGCTGCTGCAAAAAGGGTGGAGTTAAAAATAAGTTTATTCTAAGTTTATTCTTCTCCCCACTCCTTTGAACGTGTAAAAATTATTAGAAGTTACTCTTGTTCTTTCGCTTTCTTCTTTAAAATGTGTTTTCTTCATATACAACTTTGTTTTAGGACTGCGTCTAACGATTTTAGCAAGTGATTCATTTATCGGTTATTCTGACGAGTAATCGGATCAAGAAAATTGCGGATTTTTCATTTATTTTTGTACATTTGAAATGCATAAGAAAATGCAAATCAACAAATAACTAGACATTTTATTGAATTAAATGCAGAAATAACATTCCTTTAGTGATCATTTGATGCAAAGAAACAATCTGCAGCTAAAAATATCCTTCTAACATCAACATGTAAAAAGCTCAGCCTGGACATTAATAAGTGTCCAGCTGTTTATCTTTAGGATTAACTGATTAATAAATGTACTGTAAAAGATGCTTTATAGGAGATTTTTATTTAAGAATTTGAACTAGGTGAAGCTTAAAATGCCACTTGACCAGTCTTGGGTAGAACAGATTTACAGACAATTTTTTTTTTATCTTATATATATTTCCATCATATCCATCACAAGTAGAAAACATTCAAGGCAGCTGCCAGTTTTCTCAAACCCAACTCTACCTGTAGAATAGCTGCATAAGCATCAAGCATGGTGGTTGAGGGGTGTTGATGTGGGCCTACATCCATTGAGTCAATCACAAAATGTTCTTGAAGCCAAACTTGTCCAGAGTCAATGTAAAAAAAAAAAGAAGCTAAAAAGCAAATAGCATCACAAACAGAACAGTGATCCCAAACATAACCTCATATCTACAACAAAACCTGGAAATAATGAGTCCTGCAATAGACTAAAACTTTTATAAAATGCTAAAACTGGAAGAAATATGTTCCTTAGCAAACATGCTGCAAGAAAGAGAGGACTAGGATTCTAGAAAGTCACACAGAGGAACTTCTTATTCATGAAGACGGTTCTACCAGGACGAATATCTTTGTATCTCCATGAAACACCAACATTTTAAGATTTCAGCGTCTCAAGTCAAGCGTCTCATCATGCAGATTGCAGCGCCGTTCGCTCCATCCATCTGTTTTATACGTCTGTAGAAACTGTTGTGCAAGAGATCAGTATCCAGCCACCGTCACTGAGATCAGTCATTGTGTTGTGATGATGATAAAAACAGGTCTGGGCAAGTCGCTCCATCCTGACAAAAAAAAGACAAAAACAAACAAACAAAAATCGTCAGGACTTAATCAGATTCCCTCCTTTCTCCCTCCCAAGTCTCAAAAAAGTCAAACCACCACAGAGCCGCGTCCAACAGAAAGACGTGTCACTTCCTTTGTCATGGATCTCAGTATAGATGGAAAGGTTGTTGGTTAGCCTGAGTCCAGCTTTATATGTGTTTAACTCATGAATCCATCCGATCTCCAGTAGATCGTTATTCCACATGCACCGGTTCACTTTTTACACTTCTGATACGATACCGATATCTGAGGTTTAGTATCGGCTGATATCGGTATGATTCGGAAAAACAGTGAATTGACTTAAAGCATTTCTTTTTTAAACACAGACATTAATGTAGTGAATTTCTAATTTATTTGATAACTGTGCACCAGGACAGCACAACGAACTACACCAACAGCTTCACAAGCTTGGTCAAACATGGAAAAACTACACAACTTTGATTTGTTCAGTCAGCTCAGTCGATCAATCAATCAATCAATCAGTGTTTATTTATGCAGCACATTTCAGCAGCAAGGCAGTGCCTCACATAGTAAAACCACAAAGTATTAAATTAGGAGGATAGCATCCAATTTAAAATAAATAATAAAGAAACGACAAATGATAAAAACAATGTAAAAGTTATACAGCGACAAGTCTTCTTTCAAATGCTTCAGGAAGTGAAATGAAAAATTCTGCATATAATGTAAAATAAATAATAAAGTATGACACAAAGCACAGAATCAGACTGAATAGATGTGCCCTTGTGGATCAGGCATGTTGTTACGATAGATCTAGAATTTCTTTCAGTATCAAAACTGGTACAGATGTTAGTATCGCATCGTCTCGACCACAAACTACAAACCAAAAACAGGCAGATGCTCAAACATCACATCTTCTGATCCAGACGCTCAGCATTGCTGTACCGTCCTCTACCTCTTCTGTGGTTCAAAGTCCAAAGTGACGCTCTTGCCATGAATTAATGAGGAATGAGATCTGTGTGTGGGTGGGTGTGTGTTCCACTGCGGGCCCCACATTGGCCCCATGTTTCACACAGCCTGGTACTGATCCTGGGTGGTTCCGGTGTTCTGCGCCGAGGCAGATCCACATAAAAAATTAAAGCGCCGCTGCGACTCTGAGGTGAAGCTCCGCACCGCTGAAGTGTGTGTCTGAACAGACCCAGGTGTTCGGTGTGAGACGGTCCTGTGCGTCGGGGGGCTTTGAGGAATCACTGCCTGCCAGAGTGTGTGTGTCAGGTCTGCAGGTGCTGCGTGTCGGTGCGCCATCACGATTCTCCAGAAACCGCCTCCACAGCCCTCACAGCAGCAATGTTCGTCCCGCTGCCAGTGTGGTAAAGTCTGCCCTCATAAATAATTTCTCTTTTGATTTTTGCTCCATTTATTTTTATTTCTTTACTCCAGTTGCGCTGCTGTTTATGTGCGTGACCTCTTGTTGTGGAAGAGAAACTCAGAAGTAACAGACTAGAAAAAGAAAAGGCAGCATCTATGAGTCTCACTTCAGTGGGAAGGTGTGCTTCAGAAGACGAGGGATTTCCTGCATACATTTCCATAATTACTCAAAAGTTATTTTAGAAATATGCTGACTTCATACAATTAAAAAAAGGGGGGGGGGCATGACCACAGGGGTTGCTGGTGGGGGGCGGGGCCCTGGATAGCCACCCTGTCTGCTCACCACTACCCAAGCTGTCAGTTTGTTCATATCATATCTTTTTTTAGGACATTACATATTAATGAACATTTTCATTTAAATACGTCATATTGGAGCCAAGTGACTAATATTCATCTCTTGTCTCTTCAGCAGGTCGATGTACAGGGTGTTTAATAATAATAATGATAAAAACAGCCTCAGATTACTGCACCAAAAAACTTTCATGAAGTGGAAAATGGGAAAATGAAACAGTTGTTTGTAATTTGTAGACTATAAGGTTTCAATAATTTTGACTTTAAGCAGATAAGTAAGTTGAATAGACTTAGCATAGCGGTGCTAAAGACAGAGTTGTATACAGTTAAGCTGCGCTAAGCTAAACAGGCTAATTGAGTGACAAGAAAAATGATCCATTGTAACAAACAAATCTACTGCACAGATTTCACAAGCTAAACAGCTTCATGTGCTTTATTTTGGGTAAATAAATAGTTTTGTTGCTGAAGTTTTTCCCCGCTGTTCATTGTGATGTAAGACCGCAGATCGTGTACATGAAATGACGATTTTAATGTGCCGCCCTAAGAAAAAATATGTATATAATTATAATTAGATCACACAACATATTAACAGTTTTCCTCATAAACCCCACATCCAGGTTAACAAACAGCAAAAGTATTAAATCTCATTTAAAAAAAAAAAAGCTAAAGTATGAAACTAAACGTCGGGAAGCATGTGAATTGGAAACATATTGCATGAAAGCACGACTACATCAGACGGGAAGAAACAAAGTGGTTAAACCAACAGGACTAGCGGCAGCCATGTTGAAGGTCTTCAACTCAAACAAGCGGATGCTTCACTTCAGTGTTACTGTTTAGCTGAGCT